CTTTTTTGGTTTTCCATGCCCCGTTTTTTCCCCCCCTCTCCCCACCCCCCCCCCCCCCCCCGCCCCTTTCACTTACCTTTTCACAAAATTCCTGCAAAAGCCAATCAAGGTGGCAAAGTGGGCTGTATAGTGCCCCATCCCACACTGAGATTTGGGTGTCACCCTTTTCCCCTCCCAAAACTACTGACATATCAAGTAAAACTAGACCAAAAACGTAATTTTTGCATCCATATTCCCCATAGGTACAAATTACAATAAACTGCCTATTTCAAAATTTTACATTTTTTTCCTTGTGCCCTCTCTTATCTTGAATCTGCTACTAATTTTTTCAGCTCGCAAATAATTTTCCAAGCTCGTATATACTGGGTAAAACCTACATCACTATATTTTCTTATATATCATATATATATTTACCCAGAGTTTCTCTCTCTGTGTGCTTCTCCAGTGACAGTAGGCTCCACAGTGGTGTATGAGAACATGATGTCTGCGGTATTTACTATGGAATGCCCTCCCGAGATGATCCTGGTTGATTTAAGGGAGACACTGAGGATAATTTGAAGTTTGGTATGTGAATGGTCATGATCTGATGGGGAGAGACAGAGGGTAATATGATGGGATGAGGATCCATCTTGTATGCATGAATCATGAACAAGACGGATGGAAGAAGAGAGGGATGACAAAAAAGTAAAATGTTAATAAAAAAAGGAAGTTAGAGGTACATAACAGCGAAAAAAAATACCATAAATTTTTAAAGTAGATTTTCAAGCATTCAGTGAATCAAAGATAAAACTCAATCTCTCCCAAAATCCAATTCCCCCCAATGAAAAGATAAAAGGAGAAAATCAATTGAAATCTAAACAGCTCACTCTCCTTTAACCCCAGATAACAAAGTGGACCTCCTAAAATAGATCACATTTTATTAACTGTGACATTTATAGTGATAGGTGATACTGGCCTCAGGGATTGGCTGGCATCTGTATTATAACAATAGCTGGTAAACCATGATTCACATTGCCCACTAGTGAACTGTTCTTGATTTCAGACTTCTAGCAGAGTGTGTGTGCCTGCATGTGTGTGTATGTGTCCGTGTTAGTTTGTGCATGCATGTATGCATGCTTCCAAACCAGGAGAAGGACACAGAAGAAGAAAAGAAAGAGCTTGTCTTAAGGCAATATAACTCAATAACATCTTAAATCTCAAGATTACTTGTACATACTTTCTGAATACTATGTTGGTAAAAAATGCCTTTTTCTTATCCACTGCTTTAGGTTTATAAAGAAGCATGAATACAAGCCCACTTAATACTGTGCCCCCCCCCCCCCCCCACACACATACACACACACACAATTACAGACCTATCAGTCCTATATTGGTCTTATCTTACCCCAGTTCCATCCAAGAGAACAAAATGCCTAGGTGCCATTCCTTAAATGACCTCTACTAAATCTTAGAAGGGAACTTGACCCGATATGTCTTTAATAAAATGTGGAAACAAAATCTCTCAGATATCAGACTACAGCCAGTGGTCTTCCTCAATTATATTATCTGTCAGATCTCTGAAACTGAGAGATTTACTGTCCTTTGCTTCTGCCTTCAGCAGGCTGCAGATCTGTTACATGCTTCCTCTTCTGTGACAAGTACTCATAGAAAATTACTGTTTTATGATTCTCTCCCCCCCCCCCCCCCTCCAATAATCATTACCAGTACAACACTTTCATAACATAAACTTTTTATCCTGGAAATTATTACTTGAGTTTAATAGTTTTTCTATGAATTTACTACTATTTATGAATAATTTAATGGTACTTTTTTTTTACCTTGTCAATTATTACAAACTAGGGTTTACCAATTTTCTGATACTTTTTTATCCTGGCGATTTTTTTTTCTACCCCAACAGTTCTTGCTATGAAAACTAGTTTTATGATTTTTTTTCTATTCTGTCAATAATTATTGGGTATTAACAGTTTTCTAAACTTTTAAACCTCAAAATATATAATTAGACATTTAATTAAATATTTAATTTACATGTGTTTAAATTCTCGTAGTCAATGTCAAATGTCTTTGACAAAACACTGCTGGGTGCGGGGAAAGTTGCAGTACCTCATCCAGGGAAAGGAGAAAGTCCACCTCTTATCTTTACTTAAATTTGTTATTTCAGGCCCCCAGTGCCTGCAATGGAATACAGATGTCTTTGGGCAGAGGTCAATCAATTTTTCTCCTTAAGATGAACTTTTTTTAAAGTGTGACCGATTCAGGTTTTTGCATAGGGGTGGGGCAAGTAAATAAGTGTCTAACATTACTGAGTGATGGCAAAACGATTATTTTACATTAGCAAGCTAATTGTTTAACTAGTCACGTAGTTTGCAATTATTAGCTAAATTGTTGACAAAAACCAACTGAGGTGAATGTCTGTTCTCTTTAATGGAACAAAAACCATTTGTGTTCAGTCTTCATCTTCTTCAAAAGAAGCCGATCACTCTGCCAAGCCAAGGATAAACAATTATATTTCCCCAAAAGGTGTAATTGGCATTTCTATGACAAATTTGTCTCAAGTTACCAACAAACACAATTACTTGATAATGATAATGATGACCAAATATGTTTATAAAACATAACAATTTGCCAGTGATAACATGAATTGTTTATATTAAGTAAATTAGGCAGTAAAATGGTAGACAGAAAAGCTCCATTTCTCCAATTATGTTTCATAAAAAAGTAATTTTTTCTTCAATATTTTTGCAAACTGTATAAACATGAAGAGAAAATTAGAAAATTCCTACCAAATTTTATAATTAAAAATAAAAATCATTTTTTTATTATCAAATTAGTGTTACAAAACTCCTCAAAAATCAGTCATATCAATAAAAGACAAGGAAAAATACAGTAGCAACAAAGACATCAAAATCCTCCAGAAATCCTTGATTTACTATCTGTTCTATAATAGAAAGGATCCATCACTCCAGATGATTCACTAGGCATCCATTTTAACTGACACATCAATTATCTTTCTTTTCCGTTGTCTTTTTTTTAAAGTTGCCTTTTCCATCCCCACTGTCTACAATCTACTGGTCATTAATCCTTTTCCTGACTACCATTCTTGGTAAAATAATAATAATAATAATGTTGTTAATTAATCAGCAGTAGCATGTAAATCACTTTTTAATTTAATTAATTTTTGTACATTTAAAGACAAAACTTTAGGTATTTCTTCAAAAAGACCGTGAGCTTTCTTCTTCATAATTCTTAATTATTAGCACAAAAATAATTAAAATGAAGATTCCCAGTATCTAGCTAGATACTGTATGTTGGCTCTGTGCTATCAGTCCCTACTCTGGCCATGCTGTACTTCTGATCTAAGATCATATGTCATAATATTGATCTCACAATATTACGGTAACCTTTTCCTAGAGATCAAGAGGCAAGTAAACATGACTCACAACTATCACTACTATGTCACGTCTTCTTCTCTATTCACTATATACTACTAGCTACTAGTCGCACCAGTGGTTTCATTCAACCATGCAGCTCATCTGAAAGCTCTGTACAAATACAAACCTTGACTACGATATTGTGATTTTTTACAACAGAGATGTACATTGAGAGTAGAGCTGTGAGATTCCAGTCCTAACTAGAAAATCAGGTGATAGCAGTAATAAGATGATATGTAATTCAGGGCGCAAGTTGCAAGTTGCAGTTGGTTTATTTTACACTTTTTTGTGCTTCACAGGTAATTTCTTAAGTATTTGAAATTGTTAAATTTGACTTTTTTATTTCTATGAAAAAAGCTGTATTATGCTGCACTTGCACAAAGAAAAATGTCAAAATTGATTTGTGAATCATGAAGAAGGATAACAAGCAACAGCAAGTTCATCAAAAAAAAAAAAAAAAAAAAAA